CGCACGTCGTCTGTCACGTATTAAGTTTTTTATGTCATCGGGGAGGGTGCCCCGGGGGTTTGTCAGTCGGGGGACAATAGTCTCCGTCGTAGTCTGAGTCAGGGCGTTTTTAATGTCAGTCTCAAGGGAGAGGATTGCCGCCTCCAGATCATGGGTGGTTTCGATGACTGGGAGCGCCATGTTTCCTTGCATTACTGTTCGGAAACGCTCCCAGTCAGTGAACCTCCTCGTGAAGGTGCCTTCATATCTCTGTCTTCGCCCCAGATCCAGAAATATTGGATTGTGGGCGGAAGACCCTTCGTATTGGGTGGATATTTGGGCATTTAACGGTATAGATTTTAAGAGGGCAATGTCGATAACGTCGGGGCGTCCTACGGGTCCGTAATGTGTCGGTTCTGTCGGTCCGAGTATAGTCAAGTCGTCGTGTCTGTCTTGGTAATTCAGCAGGACGCGACCTCTTGTGGTCGTCGTCCCGCTGTGCCATATGGGGGACTTCGCGTTGAAGTCCCCGATGGCAATTGTCTGGGGCCAGGAAAGGATTTTGTCTAAGTCATTGTCAAGTAGTGGTAGTCTGGGTGGGTGGTAACAGGACACCACCGCAACGTCTCCATGCCGTAGCGATCTCACCGCTATCGCCACGGCCTCTGTGTTTTGAGTTTGGAGCCGCTGCAGCGGATAGTGGTCGATGCACTTCTTTACTATGAGTGCAACACCACCCCCGTTACGGTTTCTGTCATGTCTGTATATGTCATAGTCAGGGATGGAGGTACGGGATGCCTCGCTGAGGTAGGTCTCCTGGACAGCCATAACGTCTATGTTTAGACGGTTCAAGATGTCCACGAGTTCCGTTTTTTTGGCCCGGAACCCGTCAAGGTTCCAGGACGAAATTCTCAGCGAGGAGGGTTGGGAGGGCCGACGAGCCATTAGAAGTCGAATAATTTTTGCATATTCGACACCATGGTCGTCAGCTGGACGCAGAAGTCCTGAAGACGCTTTGTTGCGTCAATCAGGGCCGCCGCGCCCGGTTGGGAGGGTGTCGTGTCTGTGTGTGCGTGTGGTGAGGTGTTGTGTTTTTGTTTTTGTGTGTTTTGTGTTTTTCTGGTCATGTCAGCGTATGTGCGTCCTGGGGTTGTGTTTGGGGTGGGTAGGAGGGGCTGTCTGTGTGTTTGTGTAGTGTTTTGTGTCGTGTGTGTGTCTGTGTTTTGTGTTTTTGTGTTTTTAGCTTTGGGGTACTGAGGGCACCCCATATAGCTGGCGGGGTGTGGCCCGGCGCAATTTGCACACCTGGCGGGCGTGTCTTTGGCCTTTTTGCATACGTGCGTGCTGTGGTTTTCGCCACATTTTACGCACTTTGGCTCAGCTGTGCACCGGGTCTGGCCGTGGCCGAACCGCTGGCACCGGTGGCACTGTGTGGCAACCCGCTGCTTTCGCTGCAGCTCTACTCGAACCACGAGCGAGCAGCAGCGGGTTACCTTCAGGATGTCCTCCTGGTCCTGTGGGGCCTGAACTAGGACCAGGGGCATTTCCTGTTTATTTTGACGGCTCGCCATGCGGTGCACTATTGCGCCGGGGAACCCTTGTCTTGCGAGGTCGAGTTGGACCTCACTTGGCGAAACACCCGCAGGTATTCCGCGTATCACCACCCTCAGCGTTTTTTCTTCGCTGAGGATGAAGGTGTGGTACTCCTCGCCTTTATCTGTCAGTGTCTTTGTCAATAGTCTGTGGTCTTTAGGTGTGTTTGGGTATA